TTATGAAAAGTAATTGATATCTGAAATAGCTTTTGAAAAATAACAGCCAGTTGCACTCTACATTCCTTAAGAACAATCTCAAACAAGTTATCAGGCCCACAACATCTATGTGGGTTTGTCTTAGCGAACGAATTAATCACATCATCTGTCGATATATTCAACATTTCACAAGGTGGAAGCGATTCAAATACAAGCCTCCTTTCATCTGAAAAATACCTAGTATCAAATCGGGAGTAGAAGGAGTTTAACTCATTTGAAAACGATAAATCATCACTGGATTCCAACTGTCGAGCTCTAATATTTGATCCAATGATGCCACTCCATGCATTACGTAAATTATTTACAGAAAAATGTCTTTCAATCTTTGATTTGTATTCATCTTTACACTTCCTTGTTAAACAAGCAATCTCTTTCTGAATCTCTTTAACCTTGACCCTGTCCCCTGTACAAAAGCTCTTTTCTTTTCATTTAAAACTGATTTGAACTCTTTAGTTAACCAAGGCTTGTTATTAGGAAATATTTTAATACATTTGACTGGCACAATGTGTTCTACACAGAAATTTATATAATCAATTACAGTATTTGTAAACTCAAATTATCACTAGTATGTTCAAACATATCCCAATTTGTACAATCAAAACATCATCTCAACTGCTCTGAACAATCGTTCGTCCATGACTTTACATATTTTAGGACTGACTTTAATTTTTGACGATACAAAGGAATTAAATAAACAGTAATGTGATCAGAAGTCCCAATCGGAGCCTTTGCAAAAGATTTGTAGGCATCTTTCACATTACCATAGCACAAGTCAATAGTTTTTCTAGATCTTGTCGGACACTTCACATACTGATGGTATGCTGGCAGAACATGTTTTAAGTCACTTGCATTGAAATCTCCGAGTATGAATTTTGGTGCCTCTGGTGAAAAATCATTAAGTTAGTCCATATTGGTGTGAATAGTGTCGGCAGCTCGTTTCACATTAGCATCCGGCGGAAAATATACACTGGTCACAAAAACTTGTCCGAATTCCCTCGGAAGATAATAGGCCCTGAGTGAAATGCACAAAAGTTCAATGTCCTTGTTGCAGATAAATTCTCGAACCACGTGCTGCTTGCACCAGCGCTCGTTTACATAAACACACACACCTCCTCCAACACGTTTCCCGCTTGCCGTATGTCTATCCAGTCGAATCGGCGATCCGAATCCACTGAGTTCCAAACTTGCGTTGTCCACAGTCCCGTTCAACCGCGTCTCCGTAAAGCACAGGAGACAGCTTTCTCGAAACTCATACATATACTTTACACAAGCCTCAATTTCATTTATTTGGCGCCGTAGACTTCTGACAGTTGACAGAATGATTGTTGGGAGAAGGGGTCTGTACTTCCGGGTTCTCACCTTTTGTCTTCTGACGTAGCACGTGAATGGAAGCAAGGGAAGCAACTCTGCTAGTATTCCAAAGGCGGACATGTGATTCAACAAGTATAGTTAGAGTTAATTCCCCAGTCCCTTCACTCCGTCGAACCGGAAGCTGGCAGGGGTAATGGAGACGAAGAGCGTTTTGATATGCCACGAGTATCGCTTAAAATGTTGAATGGAATATAGCTTACGTGAGTAATTATTTAACATGAAGGTGGAAATCTGAGAGCACATCCCTTAAGGAAATGGGTGTTTACCTTTGATGGTGGCGATATTTTATTTTGACATTAAACATTGTCATATTTTTCGAACCATGCAAGGGGAGTACGGTGCCAACCATTGCTCGCTTTGCTCGCATATAGGAAGACCGGTAATTTTTCTCTGTGATTGTAGTTTGAATGTGATTGGAGCAAGCCCTCCATAACGAATGAATAATACCTCAACGTCAAATTTAAAGTCTGATACAGTCAGCGTGGAGGAGGCTCATTGATGCTATTGCAGTTGATGGAGGTTACAATAGATATTGTCATTGTGCTTATGTGAATCCTTGAGCATTGTATGCAGCTTTGTTGGTCACGTCATAAGGTCATCGTTATCAGCACTACAGAAAGAGTCATTTTTCTTACATATTTGCTTCTCTGAATAAACTACAGCTTTCCTTTGTTTGGCGTTTAGATTTGCCATGCAATTAATCTTTTAGGGTCAGTTTATACAAATAGTTAGTTAAATTGATGTTTGAATAAGTTCCTTTGCTATGGTTAATGGTAACATATTGATACTATGAAATATGTGGGGTGTTGCGATACATTATTCCATGTGTATATCTGAATGTATACAGCGCCAGGGAATGCCAGAACGTACCAACCAACACAAGCACAACGAATCAATTCACCTCATCCCAGTTAAAGCGTCATAACATGGGGTGAATACCAGAGCATGATGCCTTGATTCAAATATAACACACTGATACACCGCTTGTCTACATACCTCATCACAGCTGCCTTGATTCAAACATAACAGTCACACTGATACACCGCTTGTCTACATATCTCTTAACTGCTGTCTTGATTCAAATATAACACACTGATACACCGCTTGTCTACATACCTCATCACTGCTGCCTTGATTCAAATATAACACATTGATACACCGCTTGTCTACATACCTCATCACTGCTGCCTTGATTCAAATATAACACACTGATACACCGCTTGTCTACATACCTCATCACTGCTGCCTTGATTCAAATATAACACACTGATATACCGCTTGCCCAAATACCTCATCACTGCTGCCTTGATTCAAATATAACACACTGATACACCGCTTGTCTACATACCTCATCACTGCTGCCTTGATTCAAATAAGACAGTCACACTGATACACCGCTTGTCTACATACCTCATCACAGCTGCCTTGATTCAATATAACACACTGATACACCGCTTGTCTACATACCTCATCACTGCTGCCTTGATTCAAATATAACAGTCACACTGATACACCGCTTGACCACATACTTCATCACAGCTGCCTTGATTCAAATATAACACATTGATACACAGCTTGTCTACATACCTCATCACAGCTGCCTTGATTCAAACATCACAGTCACACTGATACACCGCTTGTCTACATATCTCTTAACTGCTGTCTTGATTCAAATATAACACACTGATACACCGCTTGTCTACATACCTCATCACAGCTGCCTTGATTCAAATATAACACATTGATACACCGCTTGTCTACATACCTCATCACTGCTGCCTTGATTCAAATATAACACACTGATACACCGCTTGTCTACATACCTCATCACTGCTGCCTTGATTCAAATATAACACACTGATACACCGCTTGTCCACATACCTCATCACTGCTGCCTTGATTCAAATATAACAGTCACACTGAGACACCGCTTGTCTACATACCTCATCACTGCTGCCTTGATTCAAATATAACACACTGATACACCGCTTGTCTACATACCTCATCACTGCTGCCATTCATATAACACACTGCTGCCTTGATTCATCACTGCTGCCTTGATTCCAAATATAACACACTGATACACCGCTTGTCTACATACCTCATCACTGCTGCCTTGATTCAAATATGACACACTGATACACCGCTTGCCCAAATACCTCATTACTGCTGCCTTGATTCAAATATAACACACTGATACACCGCTTGTCTACATACCTCATCACTGCTGCCTTGATTCAAATGTAACACACTGATACACCGCTTGTCTACATACCTCATCACAGCTGCCTTGATTCAAAATATAACAGTCACACTGATACACCGCTTGTCTACATACCTCATTACTGCTGCCTTGATTCAAATATAACACACTGAGACACCGCTTGTCTACATACCTCATCACTGCTGCCTTGATTCAAATGTAACACACTGATACACCGCTTGTCTACATATCTCATCACAGCTGCCTTGATTCAAAATATAACAGTCACACTGATACACCGCTTGTCTACATACCTCATCACTGCTGCCTTGATTCAAATATAACACACTGATACACCGCTTGTCTACATACCTCATCACTGCTGCCTTGATTCAAATATAACACACTGATACACCGCTTGTCCACATACCTCATCACTGCTGCCTTGATTCAAATATAACACACTGATACACCGCTTGTCTACATACCTCATCACTGCTGTCTTGATTCAAATATAACACACTGATACACCGCTTGTGTACATACCTCATCACTGCTGCCTTGATTCAAACATAACACACTGATACACCGCTTGTCAATATACCTCATCACTGCTGCCTGGTACGTCGCATGTGCCAAAGCATACGCACGCTCGCACAAACACAGAGTATGTAAACACTCTTAGTATCAACTGCACGGTGAACTCAAATATGTATTTGTTACAAATCAAAGACCGTGTTAATTACTCAGCAGCTGAAAATGCTGACCCTGGTCGAACAACCTGTCCAGATTCCATCAGCTAACTGACCAATGATCACATTCCACGGTCAATACACGGAAGGAGGAAAGTCACGTGGCTGACTTGGCTGTACTTCCTAACAACTCGATCAACTCTTAACCAATTATTTTACTTTCTGTCAGAATCATCGTTTTTTTCCTTTATAATTGACCCTAGTAGTTGAAATCCAATTTACGGAAGCATATTATACAGTGAAACGTAGTCGTAAAATGGAGCCAGTGTCCTCCACACGGCGTCTCGAAGCGGTAACAAACTGTGCTATTATGAAATTCAAGAATTTAGAACCTACACGGAGCACTAATGTGAGAGATATACCTGCTATTAGGTTACATCGCGACCAGCTTGTTATGGAGATTACATGCTGCACAAATAACTAACTATCAATACGAATAATGTGGCTCATAGCCGCCCATCTCATGTAAATGTCATACATCAATACACCGGATCCACATGGATATCTTCTACGGATGATCACAGTGTATTGTGCATATGTTACACCCGTAAATGCAGGTCCCAAAGCCTTCCCGCCATTTCAAATGTTAGTATCTTCCGCAAGGGACATTTGTCGTATAATCTGTAACTACATACCTTACACATTACCGTGTGCAGAGGAGTGTCTACACACTGGCCTGAAGTACGTCTTGTCATGGTATCCCGACTGCCACACACAAAGCATCGATCTACATATGAACAAGGCAACATAGATTTAGTCGAGGACAGACACACACATTCTTAACAATAACAGACTCACAGACACTCGGGCTATCAATGAAGTCCTTGAAAAGTGTCTCAAGTTTCTGGTGTTATCGACCAGGTTGTATAAGATCAACTAACTGGAATCAGATTGTGATGAGGTGTGGGAGTAAGGGCTACACTACATGTTGGGAAGCCGCTCTCTGCTGGATGCTGTCACACAAAATACACACCGGCTCACACAAGTCCTAATTCAGATACAGAAAACAGAACTTACAGATTATTGAAGCACAAACCACGTTCGGGCAGGGCGTCGATTGTGTATAAACAGAGATTCCCTGCTACAAGGAAGATATCGGCACGTCTTGTTACTTACTGTGAACCTATCACCACATCACTCCTGTACATTGTAATATGTTCCCGTTATGATTCACATTTCCTCACATTGTTTGACAGCGTATCTAGACAAGGTAGATATTAATATTAACAACCCCATTTGACTAAACACAGGTTAACCATGACAAAGATGGTCAATTGATTTGGTACAGTTAACGACAAAAATGTCCACTGTTATTATTTCATAAACCCAAAGTAAATGGCTACGATTTATACGTTTACCAGCTCTTCTCGGTAGGAAGGGAAAGACTAAGAGGTACTGTACAGATACCGATTACCAATGGTGTTTCCTGTAAGATCATCACCACACCTTCAGCTCCCCAAACTTCCGGGACGTGTTATCGCCAGATTGTCTTGTTTTTCGGTGTATAAAACTGAAATAGATTCCCAGCATGACTGTCACTGATAGACGCAACTACCTTAGTGAAAGGGGCATGTTGCACTAAACATTGGGAACTATTTCTCGACAATTAGGTTTCTGTGTCTATATGTTTGGAAATAGCATAAAGCAGGAGGCACTTCCGCTGACTGCACGTTGATTGGTTTACCAGCAGGTTGAGCCAAGTAACAGGAGAGCATATATATAGCGTTGGCCTGCATGAAAGCAGTATTGTATTTAGTATTTATTATCTAAACTCCTTCTGATTAAGTATCTGTTATGTTCTGTACCATGGATGATAAACGATAGTAAATACATTACACGGTTATAAATGTCGCCTGCGTTGCATTGATTGTTGAATGAAGTTCATCAAAGTATGTCCCTGTCAAAAACAATATTACGCTGAATATGAAATCGGGTGTTTTTTCTGATAATAAAGAAGGTCTCGGCATGTAAGTAACGTTTGCCGGTATGGGCTAACAAGGAGCATGTGACATGAGTGGGGTCGAACCGTGTATTTATGATTCAGCTTCTCATGGAGAGTCTCCAGTAAAAAGCTGTGTGTTCCTTCACACCCTTCCACCCTGACACACGTGCTGCTAATTCATGGAGTTATATTTCAGTATGATTGTTAAAGCCTTAAGTTGATCAAGTCATTATATCTCTAAAGCCCATTAAAAAAGCAGATACTGTTTATGGCAATTCAGATGGAATTCTTTCTGATGTTTCTCTTTTAGACAGAAGTGCTTAAAGTTTATGTTCTTGCTTTTCTCTTAAAGAATCAGTCAATTATCATGTGTAAACAGAGAAGCAGTCCACCAAAGACAACAATGACATATATTACCAAAGAGGAAGTCCTACCTGATCAAAGACTATCTCAGTGATAAATGTCTCCACCAATCACCATCCCGATTCAACAAGCGACTCCAAGTAGCTATTGACATCACTACCGCTTCTGTGGTTGCAGATTGAAAGAAATCAGCACCAACACTGGCAGTGAAGATGAATAGCGCCTTCTCACATACTCGACTACACGCATTCTAATGGAGGAACGCTTCACAGAAAAATACCTAGTTGAAATATAGAATTCTTGGATTTATCAAGGTACAGATATATTGTACGTTTTGTCCACACATCCAGGGTTCACGTTATGGCGCAGTGTTATGTTATATTCTGCTGATTTATATTATTTACATCAATATATTCATTTATGGTTCAATGATAGTACATAGTTAAAAATAAAGAACCTTTGGATTTATCTTGGTACAGATACATTGTACGTTTTGGTGTTGCCATGATATGTTATATTCTGGAGAGTTTTATATTATTAACATTATATTTTAATAATGGTTAATTATATAATATTGGGGACATAGAATCTTATTCTAAAAACATATAATCTTTGAAGATGTGCCATTCCCAGAAGTATATTATAATTGTAACAAAGCAGTACATGTCGTGATGTGTCAACTGTGCTAGTTAGAAGTAGCCCAAGAGATGGCTTGGGATATATTTTGGTTGTCTTGATAGCTAAACAAATACCACATCAGTAGTTGTCAGTGAGAAGGTGGTTGTTTAGTCTAACAACAAATGCAGTTACAAATGTTTATAAGTGGAGCGTTTTACACAACGTCCAGTGGTTGGCGTTACATTATAGGAACTAAGAAAACTGCGTCATTGCATTTTCGAAGAATTATTGTGTTGGGTATAAGAAGGATTTTTTGTTCATTCTAACTGGCAAGCTCTTTTGTCTGTGACAGGTGCAACCTGTACTGATGGCAACACTTCAGTCACGATGAAGCAGGTTGTGATCAACAGCAATGGAGTGGGCTGTACGACAAAACAACATGCATAGGTCATAGCAATCTGGTCTGCAGTCATCAATTTATATAATGTTTACAAACATAGAAGCATCACTGCCCTCTGGAAGGGTGGCTGTATTGAGTCAGGTTACAAGAACAGATCCCTAAGCCTCGAGGTTGGTGTAAATACTGTCGTACATGTGTAGGTGTTTGTAAGTAATGGTGTAGATGAACCCTTCTTGTGGTGAAGGTAGGTCGTCCTGAAGGAAACATATGTTAAATAACGGTTGTCCCTTCTATAAACATGGTAATGAAGTTCGGTTTTCTTCAAGTTCACATAGAATACAGAATACGTTAGGGGAAGTTGTGTAGATGCACATACAAAGTGATATAAGCAGCTAGGATATATCCTCTTGAGAGCGAACACCAGGGGTATATTTCACTGAGGAAAACACTGGAACACCAGGGATATATTATACTGAGAAAAACACCGGGACAGTAGATATATATCCTCATGTGTTAAACACCAGGCCATAGGGGATATGTCCCTAGAAACACTGGAACATTACGAATATATCCCTTCAGAGAACACTAGAACAAAGCGGACATATTCACTTGAGAGAAATGCCGGAGGACCACACCAGGGATACATGATCTTGATAGAAACACCGGAGTACATCTGTCAAACAAACACCGGGATGCTAGGGACATGTAGCTTATATATCAACAACATACCACCAGGGATATATACCTTGACACAAACACCGGATCCACAGGGGAATCTCTCCTTGAAAGAACCACCGGAACATACGGAAAATATTCATTTGCGATAACCACCGGAACTCTAGGGATATACCTCTTAGTAGACCCCGTTGGGAGAACATGGGGGATATATCCTCTTGAGAGGACCACTGGTCCTGGAGGCATATATCCCCTTGAGACAAAGACCGTGACGGAACAGATGGTAGGGTATATATATATATATATATATATTGCTTGTTTTGTTGTTCACAGGTTTCTTTTACAGTAGTCTGTAGTGGCACGAATCTGTACGGCAAGAATGCTTTCCATTTAACAGACAAACGGTTTGTAAAACTAAAATAAGTTACTTGTCTTGGATGCTACTGGTAGATTTAAAAAACCCAAATAGAGACATTCCTCATTACTTCTGTAACTCCCATTCTATTGATCTCCTGTATTATTGATTTACTGTGTTGTTGTAAACATTATTGCTTACTTTCTGCAACATATTGTCGAAACTGTGCGTACAAGAGCATGCTCGGGAATGCCAGGAAGCTATTTGAATTGTATTATGAGCCACTGGCCTAACATTACTAAATGAATCTGTCTGTCTAAGCCCTTGAGAATCGTGACGCAGCACACTCACATATACACACCTGAGGGGAGAGCAAGAACATCAGTTCCCTCAGTGTTTAAAGTAATTCCAGCCCTCGTTGCCTTACTACATTACTCTCGGAAACACGGAAAGTCTCCAATCATTAGTAGACGCAAAATACAACGGATCAAATTTAACACTGGACCGGTTCAACACGAGCAGGTTTATTGATATATTTTACATTAAGTGTCGTGATTTAATATTAAGGGACGTTATAAGAGCATTCTAACATGGAATGGTCGTGCGTTGATATGATCCTGTAACGCTCTTACAAACACATGCCTGAGAAAACTGACAAGTAATGCTTGCCCTTAGACCAGATGGAAGGAAGGAGAATCAAATCACATGCTTTACCAAATAAGAGAAGGCAAAATCAATTCTTTGGCGTATACTTAAAATAGTGCACGATTGCTATTTTACACATTGGGTTATTTTCTGGTTAAATATACATCAGCGTTCCACACTTGTTCCACTCCTGGCCGCCTGCATCCTGGGCTTGCTCCATGGGAGCAGGGCTACTTTACTGCAGGAGGGGTTACTGATGTCACGTACTCAGCACGTAAACACACTAGAATGAGACAGTAATAGTGTAGTCTTTTGGAAATTGCATCGACGAAACAGAGTCATCAGACATTTGTATTTGTGTATGACCAAACCGCCTGTTTTCGGAAACATCGGATTTGTGGAGATTGATGCGAATACATGTCGTTCCTGCTTATCGGTTATTTGCTGTCTCAGACGTGACATTTGGTTTCTCTCAAGCACATTAAGTAATCGAACATGAGCTATATTATCAAATTTCGTACTTAATGTTCTAAATAGTACTTTATTCATTCAAAACGACAAATGCCGTTAGCGTTGGGAGGAAAATATGCTGACGATTGCTTTCCAAAGCATAATTGCAATATTATTTATATAAGGTTTTCAAGACATAATCAGGTAAAACGAAATATGGCTCTTAACATATTCTTCTACATCGGTTTGAATCAAACATAGGAGTTAATTAGCTCTAAG